CAGGAAAACAGACCTTATGTTGACAGGCTGAGAGCAATGGGACTCTTCAGCCTGGAAAAGTGCAGGCTCAGTGGCGATCTGGTGGCCACCTATAAGTTTGTCAGGCCACCTATAAGTTTATCAGGGGTGTTCATCAGGGTCTGGGGGAACGTCTGTTCACCAGAGTGTCCCAAGGGATGACAAGATCGAATGCTCACAAACTCTGCCACAACCAATTCAGGCTGGACATAAGAAAGAACTTCTTCACTGTCCGAGCCCCCAAGGTCTGGAATAGACTGCTGCCAGAGGCGGTTCAAGCACCCACTTTGAACGCCTTCAAGACACATTTAGATGCTTATCTTGCTGGGATCCTATCATCCCTGCTGACTTCCTGCCCCTGGGGCAAGGGCTGGACTTGATGATCCTCTGGGGTCCCTTCCAGCCCAAATATGTATGAAATCTATGAAATCTATTATTAGTCTATGAATCTATAATCTATGAAATCTATGAATCTATAGTCTATGAATCTATAATCTATATCTATAATCTATGAAATCTATCAGGTTACTCCAAAGAAATCTGGGATGATACAACAGAACTTTGTAGTAAAACGGAAAAGGCAGAGTATTAAGAGATATATGGGCATCTTTGAAAGATACCAAGACAGGCTGTTTGACTTACCTGAAGATCTCTTTCTAGCAGCAGCAAGTGATACCTATGCCAGGTAACAAAAGCAGGCCCTTGATGTGAGAAGTCTATAGCAGTGAATGGACGGCCAGGCCCTAGAACCAGAAGGCACAATCAGAACTTCATGTCAACTTGAAATTAGACAGAACACTTCACAGAATTACATTCCCAGTTTGAAGCTTGATTCCAAAAGAAACCTCACAATTTGCACTATTGGAAACAGATTCCAGCAGAAATTTAAGGATGGGAAACTCTTAATTTAGAAATTGCTGAAAATATTCTTCAAAATTCAAAGTCAGAATATTTTTTTACTTTGAAAAGCAACTAAAATTTGAATTAATTTCTTTCACGTATCTTCATATTGTCAGAAATCCCACCTGTTATCTAATATGTATGGTCTCCCAATGTATTCAATGAAAAAAATACTTCTGTGAGAAAAAATGAATATGTCCCATAATCAGATGCCAATTTTAAAGGTCACTTCTCTAACCACATTTTTGAAAAGCTGCATCTATTACCTCTGAGCAGTTTTTAGTTTTATTTTTCTCCCAACCTGACTGGCACAGCTGAATTGAAGGAGACAGCCAAAGTGACAATAGCTGATTGCACTGTTTGGCAAGAAGATACTCTTTGGAAAAGGGAGAGAAATTTGGTAGGTTTTTTTCCCCTTTTCATTAGGATAAACTATAGAAAGCTAATGACCTTGCCACTGTTTCCATCAGCAGTCTCTTGACAGATTCAGGAACAGAGCTGCCCACGCAATTTCAGCATCCATCAATGGATGCAGTTTTACCAAAAAAAAGATTGCCCCCAACCCCAATTAGGAGATGTGTATATGTTGCTATCAAACAGTTCTGGGATATCTATTTCAGCCTGTACATTCACCAGGCTGCTGTGTTTGGGTCCAAATACACCAGACCCATGTGTTTTGAGCTTCCCCAGTTCCAGTACGTGCCAACAATTTCTCTGGTTCCAGCCCCTCTGGCACACTTCCTTGGTACAAACTCTCAGATTCCCCTTTCATGGAAATGGGACCCTGTGGCTCAAGCCCCCTACAGCTGGTACTGATGCCAAAGTACTCCACGACCTTTTCATAACACCAGTATTGTGTGCATTTTACAGCTTACCTCCTTAGGGACATAAAGTAGTTGAAACAGAGGGGCACACAGCTTGTAAAGGGTTCCAAAACATAATGGGCCAAAGCCTATATCATGTACTGGGCATCTAAATGGACTTAGATACCAATGTACAATTCTATTCCACTTTGCTTGAGTCCCTGGAAATATATTAATGCATCTACTTTTGCAATTCATCAGCTTCTGACCCTTAAGACTGAGTCATATAAAAGCTGGAAGGAAGAGGACCTACACTTTCTGCATTACCTGTTTTTCAGGGACTCAAGCAGGATGGAAGTTAGATGCCTAATAAGTAAAATAGAATCTGGCCCTTCTAATTCTATATTAGGTGGTTTAAGCAATAAACAGATTTAGAAAAACTAATAAATACACCTGCCTCAGTTTGCTACTATTCTAGGGGGTGCTTTAATGCAATGTGCAGTAGCCTATTTTACTGCACATTAAATCATCACATAAAAAACCATTAAATGACACTAATATGCAGTGAAATAAGCTACTGCACATAAAGTGTCACCTAAAAGCCATCCAAAATTGTTACTGCACATTAAGGCAGCCCAAAGCACATTTGTTTAGTACCTCATGTTGGAAGTACTAAATTTAATGCACATTAGGAAAAGCACCTTAATGCGCATGTAGATGCGCCCTAAAATGCTCTTTGGGTTTAGGTCAGTGTCTTCTTTGGAGACTAGATCCTCCTGCACACAGCTTCTCCTCTAGAGCCTGTAGTACCTGTCTCTCTAAGCAGCCAGCTTCCTTCTGTTCTGTCCTAGCTCACATTTCTGCTCTCTCTCCTTCCCAACCCCTCACTACAGAACTAGTACAAAAGCCTCTTTAATAGCCTACAGTTCCCCCGTTGTCAAGTGCTCCCAGATCAGCCACATCAGGTGACCAAGGTTCCCTATCAGATGACCCATTTCTTAGTTAGTGCAGCCTTGAAAACCAGCTTGCCCCAGGGAGCAACCATCTCTTTATCCTAAAATTTAACAGACAGTCAGAGTTTAACCAAGCTGAGCACTGGCCCTGTGCCAGGTGCGAGAATTTCCTTTTAGCTTAAAAAGTTAAAAGGCAAAAGGTGGCAGAGAGGACAAACAGGCTCTCCTATTCAAATGGAGTTTGAGAGCTAAAAAAATGCATGCCTAGAGAGTCCCAGCACTAAACAGAATTAGGAAGTTACACATAGATTATTCAGCTTGCCACAGATGCCTGTTGTTCAAGACAGCAAGCACAGGGGGAAATGAAATGGGGCAACAGAGGAAGGAGAGGCAGTCGGGGTGGCAACTGACAGAGGGAAGGAGAGTGGCCCCTGCTGACCTACCTCCCTGGTGAAGAGGAGGGT